GCAGTGTCAGCGAATCCTTCTGGCCCATCTCCCTCGTCATCCGCCACGGACAATCCCGTTCTCTCCACTTTCCGTCCATTTGACGGCAAAGTGGACTTTCGATGCTGGCTCCAAAGACTGTGCTTCCACTTGGATGCTGACCCCTCAGCTTAACATAATCGCTTGCTTTTAAAAATCTGACAGAGTAACGGTTAGACAGAGCTCTTGACACCGGTCTTTCAGCGTCGAGAGCTCTCTGCGACCAGCTGCAGTGGCCATTGCAACCCAAGCTGGCGACTGAGGAGGCGTTAGATAAGCTGCTGAGCCGACGATGCCCGGTTGGTTAGACGCCTCAACAAATTGCTGACGACCTCACTCGCTTGGCGGCCGACGTCCATCGCATGTTAGCGACAGCTGACAGAGATCAGATCGTCCTGTACCATTTTAAAATGGACTGGATTCCGAAGACGTAGAGTATTCCTTGCGTATCCACCTTCCAGGTGATTTCGGGGGCGCTGTCCTTAGAGCATCGCAGTTGATGCAGTCTGCTGGATGCGATTCTGACACCCGACGACCTGGCGGGAAGCCACAGTTCTACAACGAGCAGAGGCGGCAACGAGAAAGTAAAGGGCCTACCAGTTTTCCTCAGCGCCCCTTCCACCATAGCCAGCCCCCAGAGATTCCAGACGGCGTCCTCCTTACGCAAAAGCGTCACATCGCTCCGAGGACGGTGGTTCTAGTATTCGCGTGGTTCTCCTTTGTTCATCTAGCACTCGTACTATTTCACCGTTTTTACAACTGTTCAGATAGGCGACCATCTAGCTAGAACCTTAGTTAATGTCGGAGCAACTGTCCTTCTAGTTGGAGCCAATATTCTTTCTCCGAATCGGTTCAATAGCATCGCTAAGGGCCACCACCCGCCTGGCCTTCTGACTGCAGATGGCTATAAGATGCATAATGTCCGATCAGTCCTGTTATCCTTTGCATTTCCAACTAATATTAAGCAACATACCTTTACAGTCAGCCTAACAGTCATTTGGGATGTCTTATTAGGAGTTGACTTCCGGTCCAGGTGCAACTGTCTGCAGAATATTCGAAAACATCCTGTTTCCTTTGAACCCGAGCCAACTCCACCGTCACCACCGCCACTACTACAAGCGATCCGCACAGACGATATCTGTGCGCCGTTGCACAACTACCAACCAATTAAGATATCGTTTTTACCTAATCACCTCCAGATCGGAACTTACGGCCGCGTTGCACTTAAGTCGCTGCTAGCAACCTTTATCGGCGTCTTCACCTGCGATGACCACTCCTTGGGACGAACGACCGTTCATTTTACAATGAGAGCCCTATTGTAACCGGTGTCCTCCAATGTACCGTTTTAGGTCCTTTTTTGTTCTTGTTGTACATAAGTGATGTCTCATTGGCAGTTAAACACTCTAAGTCATTTATGTATGCTGATGATCTCGAATGTGTGTATATCCATTTAATAAATCTACGATCCTTCATTGCCTGGAGCAAATTCATGCTGACTTGCTTGCTATTTCAACGTGGAGCTCAAAATGGCTACTGGAATTCTCTCCGTCTAAATGTCGGAATGTGTTTTGGAGATGATAGGCTACCCCATCCAGTGGTCTATCAGGGCAAACCTATGACTAAATGTACCACCATCACGGATTTAGGTCTAAGCTCCACTAATAATCTTGATCTCTCGCCACACGCTGACAGAATTACAGCCAAAGCTGCCCGGATTTATGGCATAATTTTTTACAATTTCTATCTTCCCGAAATTAAATTACGAATCCATCGTACGTTTGTACTTCCCATTCTCGAGTATAGTTACCCATTCTTTGGTTAGATGAACGAGGCTAGTCGTTCAAAAGTTAAAAATGTCCAAAAACATTTTACTAGGAAACTCTTAGGTACGGAGCACCCAAATATCGCCTACTTAGATAGATGCCAGATAACCAACATAAATATTTATGGGTTCAAAGACTGGGAGCAGGCTTCTGTCTCCTTTTGCGCATTAATAATAGTTCAAATCTTCCTTCGGATTTCAGCACTTACCCCTAGTAGTCGCCCATATAGTCTTCGCAATTCTTCCTTAATTATACCTCCTCCCGCTTCCTTCACCTCTAAGCGCCCTCTCTTTTTTTCGCTCCCAGGTATACTTTTTTCTAGAATAACCGTCCAACATATATTAGATCTTCAGACAATCTACATAGTTTCTAGATAAGGTTGCGTCTTTATCTGAATACTGACTCAATTAAACTTTTATCTTCCTCATCCTTCCCGGAGAACTTTCTTTATGACACCGAGAAAGGGCCACCGGGAATTCAGGTCGCCGACATTAAATTGCCGTCTCCGTTCACATTTCCTTCTTTTATGTGTAGTATCGCTCCCTAGGATCCCCCATCAGAAGTGCTATTTTTTCAGTTCATGTGGTCACCTCCTCATTTCGACCCCAAGCGCTCTATTAACGCCCTTGGCGGGACCTTCTGTATTCGCCATCCACCTGTAGTTTGGTTGCACCTCCCTTGGCTCCTCCTCATCCGGACTCAAAGCGAACCGTGACCTATCGCGTCTGGGTTCCTCTTGTCTCGCCACCTTGACGCGAATGGCCTCATCCAGCCTATGGATTCTGCCCTGATGATGTACTCTTCGACCCTTTTACTCAATACCGCATGCAGGCCGGTCGTTTAAACAACAGACTTACCCCTTCAGGAAATCCGCTATACGCCACCACTTGCAGACCGGCCCTGACCTCTTTATTTTCACGAGCAACAGTTATTCCGCCTTTAACGTTAATACAGTTATATTATTTTTTTATTCGTTAGGCGTGTTTTTCACTGTTTCCTCTTCCTTCTTCGCAACATACTACTTATTCAATAAGTATGAATTAAGTACTGTTCAAATTCTGTCTATCAAAAGAAGAAGCGATCGCTGGATCGCTTCTTCTTCTTCTGACCAACTACTTCCTGGAACTCGCATCCTCGCTTGTACCCGCAAATTCTGTGTACATGTTCTTAAATTCATATGAAAGTTTCTTCTTGCTTGCTATGATAGGACCCCGGGTCTTGAATAAAAATTATTATTATTGACACACTATTGAAACTGGGTCCGCGAAACCAGTCTAGCAACCACCACACTTCCAACGGGAAGTTAGTGAG